TTCTTAAATGTTTTATTTAAGGATGGCTCATAAGTATTATAACATAACTATATAAATTCACGTTTCTAACTGTGTTGGAAATTTTGTAGAATTCTAGAAACTGTTATAAAAACTTCAATGTTTTAAATCAGAGTTTATAAGTATGCAGTTCTTTATATAGCCCATTAAACTTTAGTATAATTAATTGCGCTTAACTCTTTTTACGCACGCTCTTGAATGTATTATATTTAAGTATTTTCGTTTAAGATGCAAGATTACACTTTACACCAGTGGTCGGCAAGAGAACTGCTCCGCATGAGTAACCGAGTAGGAAATTACGAGAAGTGAAATAAACTTTTTAACGCATCGGGCTTCAATAAATACATATAAATACATATATTTAACACATATCGTCACGTTCATGTAAAAAGACGTAACAAACATCGTCACTGGAATGCAAAAAGACGTAACTAATAAAAAATTCAAAGCACACTTTTTGATTTATATAATGGATTTCATTGAATTACAACTCGTGGGGAGTTTTATTGTTTTATAAAAAAAAAAAATATTACTTACGTCTTTTTCTATTCTGTCCTTTTGTATTTGAGGTGACGATATGTATGTGTTAATCGGTCTTTACTATAAGTGTCATAATAAAAAACAAAAAAAAAAAAAAAGTTCGCAGCTTCATACGTGTTGGTTGGCCAAAGCACCTATCAGCCACCAATTCGCACATTTTACCGTTTTTCAATAAAAAAATTTCTTTAACTGTTAATAATGATATTATATATTTGCAGGGCCAAGCAAACCGAGTTGTCATTCCGCTGTCCTTACGTAAACGTTTATTGCAGCTCCTGCATGACGGCCATTGGGGTGTGGTGAAAATGAAGCAGCTTGCTCGCAGCCACTGCTGGGGGCCGGGTATCGACAAAAGCATCGAGAACCTCGCTAAAGACTGCGAAATCTGCAAAACGAACTCATCTAATCCTGCTTGCGAATTCAGCAACTAGCCGGAGGCCGCACGACTTCGCGGGGCCTGTATTTAATCATATGTGGCTAGTATGTGTAGATGCATACTCGCAATATCCCTATGTGAGACAGCTGAAAACAACGACGACGACAGATACCCTTATGGCTCTATCCGCCATATTCGCTATTGAAGGGCTTCCCGAGACGCTGGTCAGTGACAATGGGCCGCAACTGACAGCCGACCTCTTCAAACAATTTTGCGCTAAAAATGGAATAAAACATGTCACATCAGCACCTTTTCACCCGGCATCAAACGGATTTGCTGAACGCTTTGTTCGCACTTTCAAAACGGCAATGGTCAAGAATTTGAAAGATGGCTTGTCGATTCCAGCTGCTTTGATAAAATATCTTTCGACGTATCGTTCAATGCCCAACGCTGATGGTAAGACACCTACACAACTATTGCATGGTCGCGCCGTTCGCACGTTGCTTTCGCAAGCACTGCCAATCACTCAGAGTGAACCGAACAAAAAGGCCAACGCAAAATTTAAACCCTCGCAATTGGTTTACATGCGGAATTATGCTCGCGGCCCTAAGTGGATAAAAGGTTGCATCGACAGAGTTCTGGGCAAAATGGCGTACATCGTATATTCCCCGATGGGCTATCAAAAACGACACCAAAACCAACTCAAGGAAAGAAACGAAGATCGTCCCACAACGCAACCTTTTTTTGACGCCACTGTACATAAACATTCGTCTTGCGCTGTTAATCCCGCTGAGCGTAACATTACGGAGCAGAACACCTCTCTTCATGAATCGCCTGCAGCTGAACCACTTCGCAGAAGTGAGCGCAGCCGAAATCCGGTTGATCGTTTTATGGTTGAGGATTTTCGAAAATAGAGAGTGGAGAAATGTTATAACGGGTGATTTTTTAAGAGCTTGATAACTTTTTTTTTAAAAAAAACGCATAAAATTTGCAAAATCTCATCGGTTCTTTATTTGAAACGTTAGATTGGTCCATGACATTTACTTTTTGAAGATAATTTCATTTAAATGTTGACCGCGGCTGCGTCTTAGGTGGTCCATTCGGAAAGTCCAATTTTGGGCAACTTTTTCGAGCATTTCGGCCGGAATAGCCCGAATTTCTTCGGAAATGTTGTCTTCCAAAGCTGGAATAGTTGCTGGCTTATTTCTGTAGACTTTAGACTTGACGTAGCCCCACAAAAAATAGTCTAAAGGCGTCAAATCGCATGATCTTGGTGGCCAACTTACCGGTCCATTTCTTGAGATGAATTGTTCTCCGAAGTTTTCCCTCAAAATGGCCATAGAATCGCGAGCTGTGTGGCATGTAGCGCCATCTTGTTGAAACCACATGTCAACCAAGTTCAGTTCTTCCATTTTTGGCAACAAAAAGTTTGTTAGCATCGAACGATAGCGATCGCCATTCACCGTAACGTTGCGTCCAACAGCATCTTTGAAAAAAATACGGTCCAATGATTCCACCAGCGTACAAACCACACCAAACAGTGCATTTTTCGGGATGCATGGGCAGTTCTTGAACGGCTTCTGGTTGCTCTTCACTCCAAATGCGGCAATTTTGCTTATTTACGAAGCCATTCAACCAGAAATGAGCCTCATCGCTGAACAAAATTTGTCGATAAAAAAGCGGATTTTCTGCCAACTTTTCTAGGGCCCATTCACTGAAAATTCGACGTTGTGGCAGATCGTTCGGCTTCAGTTCTTGCACGAGCTGTATTTTATACGGTTTTACACCAAGATCTTTGCGTAAAATCTTCCATGTGGTCGAATAACACAAACCCAATTGCTGCGAACGGCGACGAATCGACATTTCACGGTCTTCAGCAACACTCTCAGAAACAGACGCAATATTCTCTTCTGTACGCACTGTACGCATTGGTGTGGTTGGTTTAATGTCCAATAAAGTAAACTGAGTGCGAAACTTGGTCACAATCGCATTAATTGTTTGCTCACTTGGTCGATTATGTAGACCATAAATCGGACGTAAAGCGCGAAACACATTTCGAACCGAACACTGATTTTGGTAATAAAATTCAATGATTTGCAAGCGTTGCTCGTTAGTAAGTCTATTCATGATGAAATTTCAAAGCATACTGAGCATCTTTCTCTTTGACACCATGTCTGAAATCCCACGTGATCTGTCAAATACTAATGCATGAAAATCCTAACCTCAAAAAAATCACCCGTTATATTTAACATCAGCTTATTAATGTTCATAACTTTAATACCCTAATATTAGAAAATATATAGATGTACATTAACATTGAATTACTGTGAAATAACATATGTACATACTCCAATGAATTCAGCAATTTATCTTTTACATATATATGTATGTAACAACTCTGTTATTAGTATTTAGTTGATTTAGCTTTAAGCTTATGCTTATGGTTTAGATTTAATAAATGTTAGTTGCATTGAAACAGCCTTCTGACGCGAACTTATCAATAATATTGGCAAATCACATCCATTGGGCTAATCGTAACACACGAGAGTTCGATATACTCCATGGTGCAACAGGTCGATTTAGTCTGACATTTACGGCACCTTTTCTCACTTGTCAATTTTTAGTAATAACTCGACCTCAGCACCACCTAGCAGCTCTTTTTTGCAATTGGACTGCCTGTACCGTTTCTAATACATGTTTTGAATATTCGCCAAATCGGATCATAAAAAAGATTTTTAGTACTAACTTGATTCTAGCGCCACCTGGCGAATTAAATTGTGAAACTAAGCTATCCAGAGACCCACTCAAACACACACAAAACTTTGGTAAAATCCCTCCAGCCGCTTAGGATTTTACTCACAAACATTCCTACAGAAGAATTATATACACATTCAATGATAAGTAAAAGTCGGGACGTTTTTACTTTTCCACGCCCCCTTTTTAAAGAGCCCATTTTTCTCAATGAGTATGGGATTAAAGGGTGAACACTAGGGTGGTCCAAAAATGTATGGGAGAAAAGTAAAATCGGAAATTTAATGCTCTCATCCCCTAGGATTGTTCTATACCGAAAAAAGTATACCCCTGTTTTTTATTTTAAAATCAAAATATATTTAGAGGTCGCTCAAAGCGCTCAAAGTTTCCCATGTATTTTGTATGGGAAAAAAATACTTCTCGTAGAAATGGCATAGAATCCATGAAAATCAAAATTTTTCAATCTGAAAACTCTGCTTCTCTTCAAAGGACTTCAGAGAATAATGCCCAATTGTTTATTTAAACATTTTTTTTAATTTAAACTGTTTTTTCTTTTTTTCTTTTGTATATTTCTGTTTGTATATTTTTTTTTGGATATTTCGGAGACCCTTAAAAAATAGTTAAAATTAAAAAATGTTTAAATAAACAATTGGGAATTAATCTCTGAAGTCTTCTGAAGAGAAGCAGAGCTTTCAGATTGAAAAATTTTGATTTCCATGGATTCTATGCCATTTCTACGAAAAGTCTTTTTTTCCCCATACAAAATACATGGGAAACTTTGAGCGCTTTGAGCGACCTCTAAATATATTTTGATTTTAAAATAAAAAAAACAGTGGTATACTTTTTTTCGGTATAGAACAATCCTAGGGGGTGAGAGCATTAAATTTCCGACTTTACTTTTTTGGACCACCCTAGTGAACACACCAAAACTGCGACACTTACCAGAAACAAACTAGAACGCTTTGAAATTATTATTTTTTTTGTATTATATAACTTGGAAGTTTAGATGTTATTAAAATGTTAAAATATTAGTTATTATTTGCTCCATATGCTAGTGATCGGTATTTTCATCGCACACCCGCCATCATGTTCCTCATCCCGATAAACTTGATCATTCATTGTCCCGGATGGGAAAAAAGGGCTGCTCTTACGGCCGCAGGAGCAAATAGCTTGCCAAACCATGTGGTTTTTGGAAATTTGGACTTCATTTTCAGCTTACAACTTTCAGGGGCATCTTGACGACTTGCAGCAGTACAAAAATCTTGACCTGCAATATATTTTGAATTTTTATAGCAGTAGGTTTCGCAGTCCATAACAATATTTTTTAATTTAGAATTCATACAACTTCCGAATGCGGGATTTCGCTGAACCATTCTACTTTGCGCCTCGGTCTGGCGCTGTTTGAGCTGTAGAACATCTCAATGAAGCTTTCCGCTTTACCTTTTGTACGAAAAACTGCGATCTCCGTACGGATTTTGCAACATAACGCGACAAAATCTTCGGATCTCGCGAAAACGCACTGAGGACCTTCCGAGCACTGTTTTTATCACTTTGACCATGCTAACCCCCGCTCCCTGGGTTTCTCGTAACTGTCAGGCCTTATTTGTACCGATTAAAACCCTGCAAACTGTCGAATAGTGTACACTTTAATTTTTTAGCAATTTTACGTGTACTTAAGGCCGGATCATTTATAAACTCGTGCAAAATGGTTTGTCTCGTTTCTAGCTCGGTTGCCATTTTTAACTCAACTAGGAATCAAATTCAAATGAAATTTCTTCTACGTTCAACTAAGGTCATGGTCAACTTATAGTATTTCAAAATATTGAATTCGTTTTGGGTAAGTTATAAGCTTCCCAAAGTGTCGCAGTTTTGGTGTGTTCACCCTTTAATTTCA